GTAAAGGGCTGCCGGCCGGCGCGTAAGGCTGACATAAGCCGATTGTTTAGAAAATGTGGGGTCCTCGACGTCTCACAACCTTGTGGGCCTCAAAAAACCTGTTACAGGGATAGCTTTAACTTTTTTACCTTTACCTTTACATATTACATCCTCTTAAAACAGTTCTAAGTAGATATAGTACGGCTTGGTTGCTGTCTAACTTATGTACAAAACATACTAGAATTGCCAATCTTTAAGAATACGTTTAATATAGCCATCACAACTCATTTCCCTCTCAGCACTAGTTGGAGATCTGTATGTGAGGGCGTTACCAAATGCTAGGCTGCAAAATAGGTCAAGTATATCGCGAATTTGAGAATGGTTCCACTCTTACGCTTCATTGACGCTACAGCCGTCATTTGGGCCTAGGCCTACCTCCATGAAACTCTCCGTTCATTGTTCTATTTTCTTTTTCCTTGGCACTACAGACCCAGTGGGCCTAGGCCTACCTCCATGAACTCCGTTCACTTCGGTTTTTCTAGATCTTACACATACGGTAGGACTCCTTGGGCTGGTGATCAGCTCGTCGCAAGGCCTCTACCTATACACAAACACAGAAAAACGCACACAAACATCCATGCCCTGAGTGGGATTCGAACCCACGATCCCGGCTTCCGAGCGAGCGAAGACAGTGCATGCCTTAGACCGCTCGGCTACCGTGACCGGCTCATTGTTCTATTAGCCACACAAATTATGAAGAATTCTACTTTCATAATTGATTTCATTCTATGATCTATGAAAAACTTTAAATAATATAAAACTAGTGTACATTTCTCTTTTACAATTCGGGACCCCTGAAGACGGCCAAGTATAGTGGAAAATTTTTGGTAATTACTATCATTTATTGAATAAAATTGTGATTACACTAGATGGTATCGTTGAAATTAACTTACTGTAACATTGCTTCGGTAAGAGTGACCTCTATAAAATTATTTCTTTACTTATCTATATTTGGGGGCATGCGGTAGCGTAGTTGGTTGAGGCAATATGCTACAAACTGGAAGGTCGCGGGTTCGAGTACCGATAAGGTGATTTTTTTTTTCAATTTATTTAATCTTTCCAGCCGCTCTATGCCCCCTGGATCGACTCAGCCTTTAACAGAAATGAGTACTGGGAATCTTCCTGGTGGGCAAAAGTCGGCCGGCGCCTAAGGCTGACCTTACCGCCATCTGTGAACCGTTTATCTAGAAAATGTTGGAGCCTCAACGTCTCACAACCCTCCTGACCTTCACGGCCTGGTACAGGAATAGCTTTACTTTTTCACTTTACCTCTTTTACTTAAATAATTTTCCTAGGGAGTAAAGCGCGGCCGGCGCGTAAGGCTGACAACCTTACCGCCATCTTTGAGCCGATTGTCTAGATAATGTGGGACCCTCAACGTCTTAGAACCCTATGGGCCTTCACGGCCTGTTACAGCGATAGCTTTATTTTTTATTTTTTTACTTCTGTAGTTTATTACAATTGTAAAATCCATATACTGCCAATAAATAGCTAGACAAAAGTAATTTCTCCCCTAAAAGTCTTCAAAATGAAGCTAATCATGTTACGTGAGCTTCTGAACGTTTCATTTCCTGCATTGATTATTTGCATTCAGCACATGAGTGTAACCTTGCAGGTTGGTGTGTCGATAATAACATAGATTTGTATTCGGAAGGTACTCGAGTCGAATCTCGGCCGAGATATCGACAATCCTTACTGACGTTTCGTGGGTAGTACCTCGATGAGGCCGAGACTGTTACCTTTCAAATCTTTTCCAATTCATCCGTAATCCTGCCATTAGATTCCATGTGGTCCAGACTCTTAAGATGATCAATAAATGTATGCTTGAAAGCTTAAACGTAAGCTTATGAAGACATTTTCGGGATTTCCTCTTGGGACACTGGAAAGATTCATGAAGAAGCGCGTAGTTCCTAGTTTAATTTAACATTTTCTTCTGTCAGTTGGCACGAGATGGGAGTGAGTGATCTGCCAGCAGTTATTGACTACATACTTCAGACAACAGGATCGGAACAGATCTTTTACGGTGGACATTCCATGGGAACCACCATGTTCTATGTCATGGCGTCAGAGCGCCCGGAGTACAACACGAAGATCCGTGCCATGATCAGCCTCGCTCCCGTTGCTTTTATGTCCCACCTGAAGAGTCCGATGATCCAGCTGGCTTCTAAAGTCGGCGACGAACTTAAGGTAACATGGAAACTCAACAAAGATTTTTATACTCTAAATTTAAATTCAACACTGCGAAAGCCAACCACGTAGCTACGTTTGGTAAAGAATTTGTAAACGTAATTATTACTTTTAAGGTCTTTCATTCTGGTCCGTCACACTAACCAATTAACAATCAAGCATCAAGCTACAAGCATCACAACACACAGACAAGCAACATCAACTACCGACAGACAACACACGTCAACAACATCCCGAAGCAAAAAGATTGGGCCAAGCGGGAAAGAATTCTAGGGATTTTAAGAATTCTTACTTCAAATAACGAAACATAATTTTACAGAATTAACGACGAATCAAATAAGAAAGCTACTGTGGTGTGTGAAAAACTTTTAGTGAACCGACACTCTGGGTAATTTTAACTATTTGTAATTATTTTAATTAACTGGAACGTGGCTATCTTGGACAAAGTGAAGTTTTGTGTGTTGGTGATTTCTTTTTCTACTATAAATGCCTCTGATGATGGCTCCGTGGTGAGCCGAAACATGTAAGGCAGGTGGTGACGAGGTGGAAAACTTAAAAAAGTGTCACATTTGACGGAAGGAACTTGATTGTTATGTAATTATTACTATTATTATTTAACTGCAAATGTGTTTGCATTCGGTGGCAATGGTACTACAATAAGACAACAGACAAATAACACACATAAACACGTTCAAACAAAACACAGCACACAAACATTAGTAGGAAATTAACATTATGTATAATAAGCTAACAGCAGTGAATGTTTAATGTCATGTTCTCATTTTCCCGTCATTTCGCTATACTGCACTTACATAATCCTCCCATCATTAACACTTCTCACTTCACTTCGCTTCACTCCGCTTCACTTCAGTCCACTTCACTGCTTGATTACTGCTTGAATTCTGTGATTGTCGCCATGTAGTATTGTAGAGTTCTAAGAAAGAAACATACGTGGTTTTAACTCCTCACAGTGGCTGCTGGACCTCATGGGAGTTTATGAATTCTTACCGCATTCGGACCTGCTGTCACTGATCGGAGAGGCCTTGTGTAACGACCATGCCATCACTGCAGACCTCTGCGCCAATGTCTTATTCCTTATTGCTGGTTTCGATTCTCCGCAGCTCAACAAGGTTTGTGATATATTTAAAGTTATTTGACAATGGCGTGACACATCTTGGAGGTTATTTACTTGGGCTTTACCCACCGATCAAGTGCTTTACGAAAAACAGAACTTTCTGAAATCGCTTCTACCTGCGTCTTCAAGTGTATATAAATGGATTCCTACTGTAAGAGTATCTTAGATGGAGCTACTCTAATGCTCTGAACTTGATAACAATAATATTCTGCTGATGTTGAGTATTGTCACATACTGGGCCGCGCCATAGCTCAAGCGGTTAGTCGCTGACATCCCACCGCTGCGGCCCGGGTTCGATCCCGGGTCTGGTCAAGTGGGATTGGTGGTGGACAAAGTGGCTCTGGGGCAGGTTTTCTCCGAGTACTTCGGTTCCTCTGCCAATCTTCATTCCACCAAATTCTTCATCATCATAATCACCCGGGGCAGACTACAATAGGCCAATCAGTGGCCGCCGTGCCGAGTGGAACAGTTTGACTCCACCCCCCACTAAGCGAATTAAAAAAAACTCAGACGGTAAAATGACGGATTTCGGAATTGATGATTGAAGATTTGATTTACGATAGGGCGGAGATTTCTGTCAAGATCGCAACTGGAACTCAAACATCTCCTGTCCACTGCGTACCGGAAGACTATTACTGAAGTACAGCGACCGCTTAACTTCACCTAGTGCAGAGGTTAAACATTCGTGGAAGGAGTTACGCCTCCAACCACCTATATACCTTCATGGTGTGGTGTTTAAATAAGTACATAGACGTTTTTGTATTTCCTTCGATTTTCTGTATTGAAATCTGAGGTTGTGCAAACCGTGAAACGTCCTCGATAGGCGGTGCAGAGAGGGCTCGTGATATCTTCTTATTGCCGTGGTGTGCACACTTCCCGAGCCGGACAGGGATAGTCGGGACTAACAGGTTTGACGGTAGTAACACAAATATTCAGATTTGGCACTTTCAGCCATAACAAGATGGGAATAAATAGGATACACAGCAGGGGTGCAAGATGGGCACAAGGGTGGGATCGCAACGCTACAAAAATTAGGCATGAGTCAATTTGACATAAATGTAACAAACAACTTCCGTGATTTTATCCCGTAAGCGAACTATACCGACCGAGCAACCGCCGCTTGTCGGCGAAGTTAATACCAGCTTTAGCGGAGAGAGGGTGTCGGGTGATCAGCGAAACGGATTCCCATGGCCGTTAATCTCGGTTTTCTAGACCGGAGCCGCTATTTCCTTGGAATAGCTCCTTAATTATCCCCACGAGGCTGAGCGGATCCCGTTCCAGAACCACTACTTCTCAGAAAAATTCTTGTAGGACCGGGAATCGAACCCAGACCTCTGGATCTGTAGCCAAGAACTCTGACCACTAGACCACAGAGACGCTCAACATAAATGCAATGTAACGTGAATATTGTCACGTGTCAGGGGTTAGCGTGACGTATGATTGTGGGTTCTAGATTTGATGACTGGATTTATTGGACGTTTCTACTACAATTACAGTTGATTATAACAGTTCACACATTGAATTCGTTCTAGATAACGGATCTCTCTGTATTTTTTCTGATCCTCGGGCTAGTCTAGAGTCCCTAGTCTTCTACTCCTCGGTACGACTGAATCTAGGAATAAGCTAACTTCACGCGGACCGAATAGAGATCACTGCCTCCAAAGGTTCCACTACTGTGTTTCACGGATGTCTGTCTCGGAAAGCCATGTATTCATTCCAAGCAAGCGTTTCATTTCTAAGTGTTTACAACTTGTTACAACTGGTGACGACATGTTCGATGGTATATGTTGTAATGGAAACGGGAACGTTGCTGAGCAACGGACGTCTGGTTCTGGTTCCATTATTCCACTATTCAGCCGTCACGTCACAATATATAAGAAAATACAGAAAAATTACTGATAAATAAAGAAGGTAAAACAATAATAATATAATGCAAAAATTAGAAATGAGGGAACGTAGAACGCGACCGATGTCAGTGACAAAATGGCTTACATGACCTAGCTATCACAACAGAATCCAGTTGTGTACAAGTTACTAGCATGGTGTTAAGCAGAGTGACCAAATGGTCAGAAATACAAAATGCATGACTAGCAGAAGTCGCTGAAATAGTAATACGAGACTTTAGGCATAACACTGGCCTCAATGCGACGGCCACGTGGGCTAAGACAGGAAAACACAACCAGATATACACCTACTCGCAACGAAGTTTCTGATGAAGGAGAAGAATGTAGATAATAAGAAACGCTACCTGTAGGGACTATGAAAATGACTTGTGGCACGTGGATAACATTATAAAGGGCGCTCCGATTGCCAAATGAGGCGAAGAGATTGACTCACGTTCAGTCATATATGCAAAATTCTGAACTATGAATAGCAAGAATCTGTAGTTTTGTGACAATTGTTTATTAAGTATACAAATATTAATTTAATATTGTGGTTCTTAAAGTGTGATCCGCGGACCCTTATGGGTCCGCGAGGCCTGACCCGGCCCCCGTGGGGGGGGGGGGGTACGCGATATAATTTTTGTGTTCTTCTTTTATG